TTGGAAAAAAAAAGATCGACGCGCATGATTAAAATCGACGCGCGCTGACCAGAGACCGACTTATTATTTTTTTTTGGCCTTATAGGAAATATTGATAAACTGACTTGTTTCACGTTTTGGGCTTGAAGATGCTTGAAAAACCAAGAAAACCAATCATGTTCTTGAAGTCTGGTTCCCTGACCCCACTTAAGATGAAACGGAGCAATTTGTAGACTTTGGGGAATTGTAAGTTCAGAGAATTAATCTAGCAGGCTTGTACCTATTCACATGTGTGTAATCAATTGCAAAGAAAATGCGGAATAACTAAATATGAAAAATTAGGAGCAGTTTTGAAAATAAGCCAGCTTTCTACAACGCTGGTCGGCCGACCAGCGTAGGAAAAATACAATTTTTTTCAAAATGTCAGCACACCAGGAGCCACGATTTTATAGGATGTTTTAGACTGTCATTCCCTAACAATCTAGTTAGGTATTTCGTGATAATTTGATCATTTTTTTAATGTTTGCAAATGTTGTATCTTCCCTTTAAAGTAGGATTACCTTTTTTTTGACACCCTGCACAAACACCCCTTCCCAGGGATCACATGGGCAAGGTTGGTTGTGCGCATGGATTTGTTGTTTTGCTGTTTACTTGGTCGACTTGGTTTCTTCTTTCTCACAGATGATATTGAAGTGTATGTTTGAAACTTCCTGTATCCTGAATTGATGTAATCTCTTTAAGCAGTGTGGGAGAAATGATTGCTTGTAGCAGTTTTTGTTTGCTTGGATTGGTATGAAGTTGTTGGTGGTAGGTGAAGCTTGTCTGGTAGACCGTTGGACTATGGTTGACTGGGTGCAGGGTGTTTCTTGCGGGAACTTTGCTTGATGGATGTTCTTGAGTCGGGCAACTGTCCGCCTAGTATGGCTATATGGGTCCCCCCAGTGTAGATCCTTATCTTCAACATGCAACACACGTTGCATACATTTTCTAACCGACAGACTGATGAGTGCTGTTCCATCTGGTCCGTTTTTGTTTGATACGTATAGATAGACTTTGGCTACCGGGCTAGGCATGGTTACATGGTTTATGGACAGAGAGTGCAACGTTGTCTGAATGCATCATGGCCGTCGAAAGTGTGCGTGTGTATGGGGGGGGGGGGATATCATATCGTGTGCCTTCTCCCTATTTTTTCGCTCCCGAATAAAAATTATCGTAGCCTACATGAATTTGATTCTATAGCTGATTTTTTAAGCGATGATCTTTTGCTAAAAAAAAAAAATTGGTGAAGGGGTCAGAAGTTGCCTCAGATCGCACCAGGGCAGTGGTGTAAATCTGTGCCGGGGACTGGGGGTCAGGGGGATGGGGGATAACTAAAATCACCAAATTTCCCGGCAGTGGAAAATTGGAAAAGCGAGGGGGGGGGGGGCTTGGCTTGGACACCACAGCCTAGAGAGCGTCTAGAATTGAATTTTCGGGACCCTCAAACACGCGGCCTGAACCCCACGCCGTTAGGGCTTTGCGCTTTATGCTCGCATTACTTCTGATCAAGGTAGTCTCCCCCCCCCCCCCCCCACCACTTTTGAGAAGGATTGACGCCCTTTGGGATGCCGCAGAACAAAGTTACTGTTAGTTTTCGCGCCGCGAATTTGTAGACGTTGAACACAATGTCGACTCAGCAAACTTCGTAGCGTGACGTACATGTAAATGTTTCTGTACGTAAAATTCGCTTCGCATTTGCATTCGCCGCATCGTGCGAGTATTAACTGTTAAGAAATTACATATGTTGGTATTCACATGGACTTCAGACTGAAATCCATGGTGACGAAAAAACAGGACGAGACTCTTGTGGACGAGAACTTTACGTGTTGTGTGCATGGTGGAAAGTCATCCCAACTCGATGAGATAAACCGAGGTTTATCTCATTGGTGTAGCCTATTTTTGTTTTAATCAATATTCATTTTCTTTCTATGCGCGAAGGGCAAGGCCAAAAAAATGACCCCCTTTTTGTCATAAAACGTAATGCCATGTCATCTGTTACCTAATTACCATGACCTTCCAAAATCCTCTTTGCAAAATGGAGAATTTCGCAGGATTTAGGCTGAATGGAAAAAAAATCGAGCGGCTGATTTTGCAGAATGCACTGTGTAAAGGTCTTGGGTCGGACCTTGTGTTGTTTATGCTCAGCCGCGTGCATAAATTAATTTAGGCCTAGATGAGGAAAAAATGTTGCAACCTGACGCCACTTCAGCTGTTGTGTACAAAGTATATGGGAGTCAAGAACATTTTCTAAGTATTTCAAAATTGGAAATGTTTCTCATTCCCAGATTCATGTCTTATCATCATTTTTTGCAATAACTGACCTTCATTGAGATGATACAGGAAGAAAAAAGTGGCGTCATTCAGGTTGAATTTTGTTTCCCTAGATTATACTTGAAATCCTTCGCACTGCTCCAGGATGTCACTGGCTCTACCTCAACATATTGACAGTGATTGTCGGAGGATTTTGCAGGATTGAGGCAGTCCCTTCAAGGATCACATTCAACAAAAAACGGAGGATTTTGCAGGATTGAGACTGTATATACAGTCTCAATCCTGCAAAATCTTCCGTTTTTTCTATATGCAATTTTTACATGGAGGCAGTTGCAGGATTTTGCAGGATTGAAGTTGCATCCTAGCAAAAATGCCTTGGGAGTAAGGGATACTACAATCGTAAAGACTAATGACAAAAAGTCGTGTGGGCATTCTTTTTGCGGATGTAATAAAAAAAAACACCTCTGAAACCAAGAATATTAAACCTTCATCAAGTATGGTACATTTAGGGTGAGCGAATTCTTGGATTTGCCCCCAAATTCTGTCCGAACCAACAATGAAATGTAGGGACTCCTATAGATCAACTCCAGATCAAACACTCGACAATACTTTCGGTTTGGTAACCGGATTTCATATACTAAACACATTGGATGTGAATCATCCGAAAAGACGTCACTTCCTGAGCTCAAATAATGATGCCACTTGAAAAGAAATCAATCATTAATTGTAGATAAATATGTCCATTTAGAAGGCAATTTGTAAGTTTGTCAATTCACAACAGCACTCCACAACAGGCAAACCCAGAGTTACTGGTGCACTACTCCGGAACTAGAAACGACGCCACAATTACGGACCTTATACCCGGTCTAGTTCAGGTGGCTGTGTTTGGTTGTTTGTACACTTGACTACTATCTCCTTGTCATTGTTGCATTATCAATAATCGACAAATACGAAAACAAAAGTCTGCGACCTAGTTTGTTGGTGACCTTTCCTCCAAGATAATGTGTTCGTAAGGACAGTTTTACTGCGAGGTTGAAATAGTTTTTTTTCATATTTCAAGTATCCTTTCCATTTAATTGAACTGTGTGTCAGGAAACGTTAGTCAGTTAGGTAAAGGTTGCAATCCTAGGAAATGCACTTTTTTGTGTGTCCCATTTAACCTTCAATTATACTTTAAATTTTCGATTTGCCATTTCAAGGGTATTTTAATGCCTTTGTGGTTTTTATGCTAAATAATGCAAATTTCCATATGCGTTAGCAAAAGTGTGATGTCATTTCAGGCAGAAACCTCAATGTTACAGCTATTTCAGTCAGCACCAAAAGTTGCCTGAATTGTTGACATTTTGCTATTTTCATAATTTTCGTTTCCTTGGTGATTCGTTGTTGTGTCAGTAAACGGCAGTACATGTTGGGGTCAATTTGAACAGAAAACCCCTAAACTGAACAGTGTCTTCCTGAAATGACATCACAGTAACAGTACCCCCAGTTGTTCGGAAAGGCATAGAAAACTTTTACATTTTTAAAGAAGTGCACTTTTCAATAAAATTAACCAAAAAGGGATGTGAAATAGTTTTTATACATTTTAAGAGAAGTAGAGAGTTACATAAAATATGTTCCCAAGAAAAATTCATCTCATGGACCCATAAAGGGAAGATACAACATTTGCAAACATCACAAAACGAAATGATCAAATTATCACGAAATACCTTATTGGTTTGTTTGGGAATGAGAGTCTAAAGCATCCTGTAAAATCCTGCCTCCTGGTGTGCTTTCATTTTCAAGAAAAATGGTATTTTTCCAACGTTGGTCGGCCGACCAGCGTTGGAGAAACTGCTCCTAATTTTTCATAATTAGTTATTCCGTGTTTTCTTTGCAATTGATTACACACCTGTGAAGGGGTACAAGCCTGCTAAGACTGATTCTCTGACCTTACAATTCCCCAAAGTCTAAAAATTGCTCCGTTTCATCTTAAGTGGGGTTAGGGAACCAGACTACAAGAACATGCTGGTTTTCTTGGTTTTTCCAGCACAAGCCCAAAACGTGAAACAAGTCATTTTGAACAATATCTGCTATAACATACTAATCCTCCAAATCCATTTATTTCAGAAAATTGCAGCAAAAGTAAATGTTGTACATTCCCTTTAAAATACAATTGCAAATTTGGATTATTTTTGTATTTTGCAATTATATTTGTTATTTAATATCCGGTGTATTTTTTTAATATATTTAATTTAAAAATTTAAGGCAAACATCTTTAAGACAGCTAACAGTTTAAAAATTGCATAAAATTGTTATGAACATGACCAACTTTGATGGTTTGCATTTGTCAATTTAAGAATATAATGCGCAAAAAGACAGTTAAAGTAAACAAAATAATATAAACTGTTGATTTGCCCCTACTGAGAGTTTCACTTTTTCTTGCATATACCCAAACCGTGTCACCTATGTAATAAATGTCTCATGTATTATCTGTCAATTGCAATATCCGACTAAATAATGTTTATTGTAAGCACGACCCCAAGATTGTGTCGAATCAATCAGTTTTGCCACTGACTAGTTGCTTGTTTTTCTTTTAGTGTTCACTGTTTGCTATTTTACATAAGTGCACTTTTCCTTTTTTTCATTTGCATATACAAGCATATGTAATTTTATAAATGTTTAAAAGATGAATGCTGGTTTTGTTTTAATTTGCTCCAATTTCCAAAACTGTACTTGAATTTTCGTCGAACTGTTTTCGATTCAGCCTGAGGACCCCTTTGCAGTTCTATTGTAAAATCAAATAAAACCAAACCAAACAAGTACAACCATCTTAATTATCCTTCGAATCAGGATAACCTTCATCCTCAGTGCGTACCTCCATCGAAATGTCATTGAAATTCTCAACACCCCTGAAACGTGAAAGACAAAAAGACGGAGCAAGTTTTATTTTGTGGGTTACTTGTTTGGAAGTCTTCAAAACTGAAGCAATTTCAGTGGTGAATTACGGTTAAAGGGGCACTGCGTCCTGAAATCCCCGAAAATTTCATGTTTTAGAGTCTTTTTATATCCTATTTCAGACATCTGGTTGAAAGGAAACCACCCTTATGTCTCACCATTCACGAGAAATGACGAAATATTCTCGATTGTTTATATTGGACACGACAGAGTATGATATGTGTTTCCTTTTCTTTTCATACAATGTACACACGTACGATCGAACAGAGGTGATCAATCACCAATGCACAAAATGTGGTTTCTTACACGTCCGCAAAAGGCGAACCCTTACGGCTGGAATCACAACTAGCCCAAACAGCCAACTTTTTGGAGTCGCAAAAAAGGACCCCAAAAGACATTCTTACATGAATAACACAAAGATACTACAAAAACACCCAGTTTTAAAAGGATAGTTGTGTGGATGTTTAGGGCCAAAAAAAATATATTCGGTCTCTGGTCAGACCAAAGTTCCGGAATTGACGGGGGACGTGGCTTTTTTTTTTTTTTTTTTGCTTTTTTTTTTCCCTTCAAGCTTGGATTGTACAGACAAGGTGGGGTACTATATTGCTTTTTTGGTGTCCTCATGTACATTGGTGTCCTCCATAATTTGCCTTGGTGCTCTTGATCATTTGCCTTGGTGCATTTCCCATTCCTTGGTGCTCTTGGGTTAAAAAAAAGCTGAGGAGGTGCGGCAATAGAGGGCGCTGTTGGAGCTACCGCGGAACATTTTGGGAAAAAAAAAAGATTGACGCACATGATTAAAATCGACGCGCGCGCTGACCAGAGACCGACTTATTATTTTTTTTGGCCTTATATCCTACTTTTAAATGTTCTTTCCGATTAACATCATTTCGTTCAAAACACCTTTTGTAGCCCAATTGGGCGTATTCCAAGACGCAGTGTCCCTTTAATTGGTGGTCAAGAACTTTCACAGGAAAAGGTTGTAAGAAGTGGTGCCTTTTCCACACACAAAATTACATGAATGATGTCTCTAGTAAGATTATCCTAGCAGTATAATTGTAACCAGCTTAATAATGTTCAGTAACAGGCAAGTCCAAGAAAAGGTACCCTTTTTGTCCCATTCATTTGGTAAGCACCGTCAATATATCGAAATTACTCGATTATTTGATATAACATTTATTTTGATATCAATATCGCTGATGGCAATTTTGTAGTCATATCGAAATACTGAAATTTTGAATCTTGAGGAATGCTATAGAAAATATCGAAAATACATTTAGGTCAAAATAATCTCCCGTTTGTACTTTTACTTTGTGTTTAACGGTTGCTTTATATTAGGCCATCAGCCTCAGTCCAAAATTGTGGCCACCGGTATCAAATGAGGAGAACAATTGTCATAGCGATTTTTGGCACCGTATACCCATCCAGAGTTGGAAAATATGTGATAGCATTGCAGCGGTGGCAGCTTTTTGGGTGTTATAACCCTTTTTTTTCAAAATGTCCATCGAAATGCTTGTTACCACTCTTGGGGCGGTATACCTTACGCATGCGCACTATTATCATTTATGCCTTGATTCGATACTGACCAAACCCCCAGGCTGATGATGGCCTAAATTGATTGTTATACTGCTCTTTTCCTAGCTTACCCGTTGTCCACACCATCCTCCTCGAGTTCTTTTTTGGTGCAGCGGCCACGGAATGCACAGTACAGCAGATTCAGTATGACAATCAGTAGGACGGTGCCTCCCAGGCCCACAGACAGCCCAACGATGAGCGGGATATTGGGTTCGTAGGGTGGTTCCATGATAATGGTGCATCGCGGCCCCGTCATGCCTTCTGGGCATTCACTGTACAAATGAAGATCGCCACAATTTAACCTTCATGAAATATTTCCTATTTTAATTGTAAGTTCATATATATATATCTTGTCCCTCACTACACAAGTCTGAGATCAAACGATTACGTGCACAGAGCCACACAACAGACGTCTGATATATACGGGTATGTAAATGTTATGCGACCCCATGCGCCAGCCAATCGGAGACACAGTTGTGACGTCATTTAGAGCAGAAAATTGGCCAAAGCTGTTGATTGGTCAAAAGCTGCCAAGTTTTTTTCAGACAACATCAAGTAACCGAAGACACGACAGACGGCTCCTGCTGAATGGTCAAAATGTGCAGGTAAAGACACAGTTTTTTTTAGCATAATCTGCACACATATCATAGACGCTTGCCGTGCAAACGTCTATTCCATAGACGACACCACACTTTATGTTACTACATTAAAACATGATTTCGATCATTGAAAATGTGTATACCTAGCCCCTCGGCATTCTTTGGCACTTACATCAAATTGAAGTTATAATGAAAAAAACAACCAACCTGATAACTTACGTAACATTTAAAACGTTGCATGGTGGTGGTATGAACTGGTGAAGGTTGCGGTAACACCATGTGGAACTCTCTTTTGGGAAGATGTGTGGTTCTGAAAAGAACCGATTCTTTTCAGAACCACACATCTTAACCTGATAACTTGTAGATTTCTCCAAACTGTTTATCTCGGCCTACTCTTGTTACAAATGCATGTGAAAACTGTTTTAACTTGTACTTCAAAAATTGTTTCTTAAGACCATATTGCACTTTTTGGCACTCACTCGCAAACTCTATTTGAGTTTTTGGCAATTTTACATCCTACTTTAGAAAACATTTTCGCAAATTAGTAACTGAAAATGGTTCACTGCCTTTCAGCAGATTGTCACCACACCAGTTACAACCACAATTTTACTTCTTTATCAGAATGATATCAGAATCAGATAATTCTACTGAACGTGTCAAGCCAGAGTACAGGCCAAGTCAAAAAAGCTGAACGCAAACCCCAAATTTATATTTCATATTTAAAAAAAATATGTAGCACCAAAAATAATAATGACTGGAAAGCCAGTTTCATAAGCTACTTTTAGATGAAAAAATTACTGAAATTGCTCCGATTATTGCTCAAGAATATCACCAATTTAAATACAATAACCTAAAACCTGTTTTGTCCAAAAATGCGATTTCAAATATCATCGTCACAATTGTCTTCAAACATAAACAGCTGTTTAAAAGTTTATATAATTCAACAAAGTCCTTTTGATGGCCCGTCTTTTAAAAAAAAAGGATTTTATAAATCATATTGTTTGCCTAACCAGTATTGTTAATAAAGATATTGTGTACTACAGTTGTTGACAGCTGTTGAAACGAGTATTCTGTGTCATTTTCTTTGTTGTTCTAAACAGTCGGAATACAAAATAAATACGTTTTTTTTTTTGACGAAACAGGTTTTGGGCCAAAAAAAATAATAAGTCGGTCTCTGGTCAGCACGTGTCTATTTTAATCATGCGCGTCAATCTTTTCTGCTCCAAAATGTTCCGCAGTAGCTCCAACAGCGCCCTCTATTGCCACACCTCCTCAAATTGTTTTTACCAAAGAGCACCAAGGAATGGGAAATTGCACCAAGGCAAATGATCGAGAGCACCAAGGCAAATTATGGAGGACACCAATGTACATGAGGACACCAAAAAGGCAAAATAGTACCCCACCTTGTCTGTACAATCCAAGCTTGAAGAAAAAAAAAAAAAGCCCCCCCCCCAAAAAAAGCCATGTCCCCGCGTCAATTCCGGAACTTTGGTCTGACCAGAGACCGAATAATTTTTTTTTTGGCCTTAGGGTCATTGCGTTTAAATAGTGATATTATTTGATCGGATTGAGCAATTTAAGTAATTTTTTCATCTAAAAGTAGCTTATGAAATGGGCTTTCAAGTCATTATTATTTTTAGTGCTACTAATTATAATTTTGGGGTTTGGGTTCCGCTGTTTTTGACTCGCCCTTTATAATGACTTTAAGGACTGACCTGCACACAGGGTCCTCGTTTTGTATTTGGGAGCACACTCCCCCATTGCAGTATTCCGAGTTCTCTTCGCATGGCGAGATGCATTTATAAACACACATCCCAGTGTCCGCGTTTCTGTCCTCAACGACGACGCTCTTCTCTGGGCACGTGACAGCCTCCTTGTCGACAATACTGCAGATGTCAGTGATATCTTTGTGAAAAAATTAACAGAAAAAGAGTTCAAAATTCACAAGTGTCATTATTCTCCGATGCCACTGTAACCTTTAGAGTGCAAAAATGCAGAAACTGTTCATTGTTTTCGGTAAGATTTCTAAATGTGATCCAAATTGCATATTTGCCGTGGCCTCGTGGTCTGGAGCGTTGAAATTGTGGTCTGCGGGTAATTCTGCAGGTTGTGGGTTCGAGTCCAGCCTGCGGCTGTTTTGCGTGTACCCTGGGGCAAGGCACTTTGTCCCTCATTGCTTCTTCCCACCTAGGAGTAAATGGGTACCTATGAGGGCAGAGATGGTTACTGTGATTTAAGCTGCTTTGCGCCAAAATGGCAGCATCGAGCTGTCTACTCCCCAGGGAACTGAGATTGTATTTGGAATGTTTCATTTGCCCAATGAGCAGGGTAATAAGCGTAGCGCCTTGAGCACCAATAATGGTGGATACGTGCACTTTAGAAATACCCATTTTTATCATTATCATAGTGTCAGCTTTATACATTTGACCTCAGTTGACAATTTGATAATCATAACAATTTGGTTCAATTTCAAGTCCGAGTCACTTCACCAAAACTGTATACCGCCCTCTTATGCTATTTTGTGTAATGCCCTGCCTGGGGTTTCAGGAGTTTGAGGCTCACCAGAATCGAAGACACTACAAGTTATGCTCATTCCTGCTAATAGAAATTTGTCGTGCGTAGTTCACGTAAAAGGCCTTTCATGGTATCGATTGAAGTCATTTAATGTAAACTCTCATAAAAAAACAACAACAGATGAGGCCAGTGTTAACCTGTCGGAGTTGTGCATTCTTGGCAGTTCTTCTCCAGCAGCAGGTTTCCAAGTCTACCCGCTTCCACGTCTGGTTCCACCGAGCTTTGATAAAACACCTCCGGCCTGATTGCACGGATGGCTTGGTCTGAGTAGTTGTAGGACACTGTGTGGGGGACAACAACGCTGCCTTTTCTACAACAAAAAAGGAAAACGCCAATTGATCAGGGCCTAATTTCATTGCTATAAGCAGAAAATATTTCTCAACTAGCTTTTTAGCCCAGAAAATAAATGTAGGCTATCAGCTTTGGTCCAAAAATTGGGCCACCGGTTTCAATGATCGAAAGGAGCAATATTCATAGCGATTTTTTTGCAAGGTATGCACATCTAGAGTTGGAACATGTGTAATAGCTTTGCTATCAAGTATTATACGTGCAAATATTGATAACTAAAGCACTGGTTTTCACCTTAAATCCGTTTGATTCACCATGACGTCCAAAAAGCCGACTTCAGATACCCTCTTGTAAAGCGGCAACACCTAAAATGCAAATACATCAAAGCTTGCCAGTTATTGGAACCGTACCTTTTTGTGGCATAAGAGATTTGTTGTGGCATGAGTTAGTCGTGAATACTTCACGCCGTACATGTGCACACCAGTATGTACAAGTATTACATTCACTGTGTGGAATTCTGAACAAAAGAGGTCCACATAAACCAGGTAGCAGCGACGTTGGGTGGACTTGCCCACGTCCACACAGTGTTTCCCCCTCTCTGGAAAACAGGTTTACAGACATTTTTGGGGGTTAGGTTTATCGGTGGCAAGAGTAAAGGAAACACTAAAGGGAATCATAGAAAAATAATTGTGTTGAAAGAGTTTTCACAGTGTGAGTAAAGTGGGTTTTTTTCCACAGGTTTTTCTTAACTAAACGAAAACAAGGGAATTTCCACACTACGTATGTAACATAAACATGTATGCGCATGCGGTGCGTTCCTCTCATAATTTTAATTAGTCCATAATTTTAATTCCTTCACGATCTTCTACTAAGGAAACCCAGAGAAAATAAGTCGAAAGACTTTAGTGAGCTATCCTCGCCAACTGCCGGATAATAAGAATCAATATTTAAACTTACAAGCTCCTTGAAGGTCTGGACAACTATTGAACACTCAAATGAAGTCTTGTCTACGTCTGGGTCACATCCACTGGCAGAAGCATCGGCAATGGCGAGAACAACCAAGAAGATCTTCTGCAGATCATTAGCTCCATCTGGATTAAATATCGCAAAATCTCAATTCTTAAAACTGTGATCCTGTGCTATGATGACTTGTATATGCAGTTAAGGTTCCGGGATTTTTCAAAGGGTGAAATTTTTAACTCTGTGAATGCTATATATTTCGAGAAAACACAATATTCTGAATCTCGATTTCAATTCGAAAGTTGCCAAGCTGTATTTGGAATCGCTTCCTCTTTCATGAATCATAAACACAATCAAAACATGACTCTCATTCAGAGGATTAGTAGCCGAGTGACGTCACACTCTGAGCCGACGAAAAATAGCAACCACGCACACTTGTGTGCCGTTTCAACACTTGCATCCATTCACAAATTCGCCCAACCTACACACGCACAAACTACAAATGAATATTTTCCGAAAATGCGTCCCTTGACTCATCTTTAGAAATGACCTTCTTTTATTGTTTTCTTCAAAATGACAGCACGCCAGAAGGAATAATTTCACAGGGAGTTTAGTGCCATTACTATCTTTAAACCTAGTAAGCTTTTTAAACAAAAAGTTGGTCGTTTACTTTTTGGACAGCTGCAAATGATCCACTCTACCTTTAATTATGGTCCAAATCTGCACTCAAAATAACTTTTTTTGGCAGTTAAATCTGATCAGCGTTTATTTTTTCCCCCACACAAGGATAAAACCTTTTTAAGGGCTGATAGCTATACAATTTTATTAGGGTATTTACATACTACATGTACAGGATGAGTCCAAAAAAGCGGAACCCAAACCCCCAAAGTAATATTTCATATTTAAAATTTAGCACCAAAAATAATAATGACTGGAAAACCAATTTCATAAGTTACTTTAAGATGAAAAAAAATTCTGAAATTGCTCAATCCGTGCAAAGAATATCAACATTTAAATGCAATGACCCTAAAACCTGTTGTTTCGTCCAAAAAAAAATAAAAAATGTATTGTGTACTACCGACTGTTTTGAACAACAAAGAAAATGACACAGAATACTTGTTTCAACAACTGTCAACAACTGTAGTACACATAATCTTTATTGGCAACCCTGGTAAGGCAAACAATATGATTTATAAAATCCATGTTTTTTAAAAGACGGGCCTTCAAAACGACTTTGTTGAATATTTTTTAACTTTAAACTGAGGTTTTATCGCTGGTAATGTTTGTAGACAATTGAGACAATGATTCTTGAAATCACATTTTTGGACGAGACAGGTTTTAGGGTCATTGTGTTAAAATGGTGATACTCTTTGAACGGATTGAGCAATTTCAGTAATTTTTTTCATATAAATGTAGCTTATGAAATTGGCTTTCCAGCCATTATTCTGTTTGGTGCTAATTTTTTTTTCTTAAATATGAAATATAACATTTGGGGTTTGAGTTCTGGTTTTTTTTACTCACCCTGTATAAAACAGCCAGCTACATCATACCATGTACTCACCTGGAATGGGTATGTCAGGATACTCAGCAGGAAAGTAGCCTGAAGACGCAGAGATATTAAAACAACATAAAAAATGTATTATTTCCAAGCCCCGGTGGAACATTGATAACTGTATGAAAAACTTTCAGGTTTATTTCCATGAGATACCTTATACTTATTTCATGTTCTTGTTTACGGTGAAGGAAATTTCAGATGTGAATTCGTTTTTAAGATTTTTAGGGGCTTTATTGTGTAATGACACAACATATAGGGTCCAGAGCAGTGGCGTCGCCAAGGGGGAGCCAGGGGGGGGGGGGGGGCACGTGCCCCCCCTGGAAAACCTAGTGCCCCCCCCGAGTGCCCCCCCCCCCCAATCAAATGCTGGTGCCCCCCCCTATCCTCTGCAAAATTCTGCGCGTTGTTAAAATCATTACCTCAAAAATAGCAATTTCTGGAGATATCTTCAGATTGAATTTAGCATCAAATGTGGCACCATTTTGCATCTAGCCCATCCTCCGTATGCGAAAATTTCCCCCCCCCTTAGACCCCTCCCCCAGGACGGCGATCCGTATCCACCTAAGTGCCCCCCCCCCCCTCCCCATCAAATGCTGGTGCCCCCCCTGTGCCCCCCCAGACTGAAAAGTCATGACATTTAGAGAAATGAAACTTTAAATGAAAGTTTTGGGGGTTTTATTGTTATAACTTCATTGCTTTGCTAGCTCATGTCATATGTTTATTCCATTTTCTCAAGGTATATTTGGTAAAGAGAAGATTGTACTAAAAAGGCATTAAAATGACGACTGGTATGGAATTAAAGGCATATAGGATCATGTGCTTTTCATGCATTTTGTTCGTTTCCATAACACCACTCGAAATCAAAAGAAGAATGTTCAAAATCTAACCCATAAAAGTATCAGCTCGGTGGATATTACACCTCAAGAAAACAGTGAAAAACCATGCACAACCTTGTGATCATGAAACATGATTTTGTCAATAGAACTCTTTATTTCCGAAAATCAGTCAACTGACAGATCGTTGGAAATCACCTACATGTCTTGATTTCTTCTAAAAGACAGCAAGCCAGATGGAATAATTTCACAGGGTGTTTAGTACCAGTACGATCTTTAATCTAAGCAATTTTGATAACAATTCGGTAGGCTACGTTTGTGACAAATGCAAATGATGCTATATGCCTTTAAATGCGGGGAAACGAAACTTACGTTCGCATGTGTACATGCCATCGCCGTAAAATCCCTCTTTGCATTGACAACTGAAGAAATCCGGTGGGTCAAGGTTGGTACACACAGCATCAGCATGGCAGGGACTTGTGGGCAAACACTCGTCCTCGTCTGTTTAAGAAATTTAGTTACGCCGAGTTGTATTACTTCAAATATTTATAAATATGATTTATTTGTGGTATGAGATAACAAGAGAACAGTTTATATTGATTTTTTGCCCATGCATCTTCTCGACAATTAGGTTATAGACCTTATGCGAGCAGCCATTTTAGAGGGCAATGCCTTTGTTTTGCAGGGATCTATACATGAGTGAGCCTATTGTCCATTCATTGTTACTGAATTAAAATAAAAGATGCTTTCTAAGGTGGCCGCTACGCATAAGGTCTATTATCTATTTGCGCAGTAACTGGTCATAGTCCAGTCATGCCCCAGTCCAAGTAACATCTAGATGGCGTCTTTCTTTGGCCCGCACCCAAAAACGTGTTTGTGAATTGGATATTTTAATGGATTTTGTTTTTGAGTAGTGAGACCTACTTGTGCATTCTGTGCCGGTGTATCCTGTGTTACAAACACACACAGATTCGCCGTCCTCTTGTAGCGTGCAGACGGAATTATCTGGGCACTGGTCAGGACAGATTGCACCTGGAGGCAGATTTTAAATAATAATAATTATTATTTATAACACGCACTTTCTCTGGAATCCATTCAAAGGGGCCGGTCTATAGATGTGAAGAAAAAAAAACTCCATTGTTGGGAAAAGCCAGCATAAAGAGATGAGTTTCTGCGTGAAAGATGTGATGTTTTCTGTGTCTCTGATTTCAAGTGGCAAACGGTTCAAGCTGAGGTGCAACATTTGAAAAGGCTCTAGTCGGCATAACTGTCAAGACGAGCTCGGGGAATGGAAAGGAGACTGCCAGATGACCTCAATCCCAGTCTGACAGTACAAAGCTGTAGTAGGTTTTGTACGTAGGGTGGGGCAGAAAAGGGAAGTGCTCATGTATACGATCATACATACAGGAAAAAGGGTTGTGTTAGAAATCTTAAAATCTCTCCACAGTGGTACATCGAAAAGTCACCCTACAAAACATGATTTCAAGACTATAGTATTAACCCTTAAAGTGCTGTTTTTGTCTTAAAGTCAGGGTCGCGGGGGGGGGGGGGGGGGTGTGGAGGGAAATGGAACTCAAGCATGGGCAAGTCTGCACATCGTGGCTTCTAATTGTACAAGCATTACATTCAATGTGTGGACTTTTGATGTCCACATGAACCAGGTAGCAGCAACGTTGTGTGGACGTCCACGTCCACACAATGTTTTCCCCTCTCTGGAAAACAGGTTTAGAGGCATTTCTGGGTTAGGTTTATCCGTGGCAAAACAAAGGGAAACACTAAAGGGAATCGTAGAAACAAATTTGGGTTGAAAGAGTTTTCACAGTGTGAGTAAAATGAGTTTCTTCACAGGTTTTCTTAACTACACGAAAACAAAAGAATGTCCACACTAGGTGTGCAGTGTAAACATGAACTGAGTGTGTGATCTGATACACGTACCCTCTGGAGACGTGCACACAATGGGGAACAAAAGATTGTATACGTCTCCAAAGGGCAATTTCTATAGATGAATATGTCTCCACAAGATTTTCACGAAATAGATATATGGATTTTACTCAAAAAATAAGGAATTTCCAAGGTGGGTTGATCTGTCGCAAAATGGAAGAGTTTTAGAAAAGGGATATTAAGTCCGAATTTCAGTCAAGGAAATTAATTCTGGTTAAAATAAGAGCATTTTGAAACTTCACTTTCAACCTCGAAAACTTTACTACACGAGAACAAAGAAATGTCTCCACAAGAATACAAATTTCAGTATATGTGGGGTTTAACATGTGTGGCGCAACCAGATGCTCGATATTTTTGTACATTTTATCTTCGTACCTGTCACCTGAACTTCAAAGGAGCACATTCCAATGTTGTTGACCGAGTCTGCAGCAGAGCAGACTACTGGGGTTGTCCCATACGGGAAGATGGTACCGCTTCCCGGTATGCACACCACATGGATGTCTGCTCCCGGCGTGTAGCTGTCCGCGGCTGCAGGATCGCCCCAGGTCACGTTGGCCATATTAGTGCCGGGGTCGGCGGGAGCGTTCAAACTCTCCGGGCATTCTACAACAGGTGGCTCAGAGTCTAGAGACAGACAAAGAACCTATTGTTATCCAAATCGGACTCCATTGTCATATAGCTGATACATGAGTCGTGACTATTTTTTTTGATCCTGTATCACTTGTCTTGGACATTTAAAGAAGAAAATGCTATTTATCATATTGATAGACCTTTTGCATTCAGGCGAAGGTAGGGGGCAGTGGTTTAATTTCCTGGATAGGTATGAGCAAGCTTTGTGTGCATTCATTGTTAATAAATTAAATTAAAAAGGTCAGGGGTTCTAATCCAACTGCTAGCCATATGTTGTGTCCTTGAGCAAGCCACTTTACCCTCACTTGCCTCTCTCTACCCAGGATAAGTGGGTACCGGCATTAGCTGGGGAGTAACCTGGGATGGAATAGCATCCCGTCCAGGCGGAGTAGAAATACTCTCAGTCGTTTCATGCCACTGAAACCGGAGATAAACGCCGGCCTGATGGGCAACATTGGCTCGTGACAGACTTGACTTATTCTTAAAACAATCCCAGACATAAGGTCTATTGAAAGTCATCTTCATAAACTCAAGTTTATGCGAAAAAAGAGTAAAATCAACAAGCTACCCAATCTGAAAAGGTGATAAGTTGTGCTCGATCTGCACTGTGAAGTTTTTTGTATAATCTTTGGCCCAACACCATTTTCACCATTGTTTAACTAAAATATCTTAAATATATGCTTAACCGAACTTTCATAGCCAACATTTTATGTAATCATTATAAGAAAATCCATTGGATTTTATGAGTTATCACGATAAATTAGATTCTTGTTTTGGGTTTTTTTTCAAGCAACCATCAGTTTCAAAATTTTCATTTGCCATCATTTCAATGATTTTTTATAATCTACCACGGATTAATCCCTACCGATTATAACCGTGAAATTGCAATTTGCCGTGAGTCCGGTCCCAGCGTCCGTGGCCGTGCAGGTCACCACGGTTTCTGTTTGGCTGAAAGTGGCGCCACTCTCATAATCGCACTGGACCTTTGCCGGTTGGCCCGTGGAGTCCTCATTCCCTGTGACGTCCTCCCATGTCACCACAGCTTCCCCGGTCTGGTCTGGGGCAACGATGATATCTGCCGGACAGCCTTGGGCAAAGGTCGGCGCTGAGGAGGGAAAATGCAATACAAAATTTTAGACTGTTTTACACAGTTAATATTATTAATAGGCATGTGCATAATGGATGCTGCAATGGACCTTTTCCCCAAATAAATTCATAATTATGCATGCACGCACTTACATGGACCCGGCGGTAAGAACTGAAAGCGGTCCATTGAAAATGTACAGGGGTTCAATAGTTGGGTCATATTCTCTCAAATTTTTCCAGGCCTTGTCGCTTTTTTGGTTTAGAAAAGTCACTAAAATCGTCATTACTTTCTGGCCTAAATGTGTTTGGGGGGCATGCACAGAATGAAAACTAAAAAAAAATTCTTTCGTCCCGTGCACACGAGGGCGAAAGAAATCAGCAGGTTCTTATTCTTATTCTTTCCACATGAGTGGGAAAAAATAACCACGTGCTTCGGGGGAATCTGTCCACCAAATTTCAGGCCCAATCGCGGTGCTGAATCGCGGCAGGCTTCACCGTGGCTGAATCACGGGCCCATGGTGAAGCCCTCCACAATTCAGCACCGCAATAATTAGTCACGAAATTTGGTGGACGGGTAGTAAATTTGCTCAAACCGCAGCCCTTCAGTGTTCAGACTTTTGCATGACAAAAAGTTGCAACAGCACGACAATCCAAAGAGTGTTGGAGTGGAAGATTAGTCGCATATTGCCCAGTCAACCGTCTAGTTTGCCTTTGTTTAAAGAGCAGACTTTAAACATGTCCAAAATAGGCCATCACTGGCTCAACTTGAGTTAAAATTCTGGGCGTTCACTGTAATATCAATTTTCTTCAATTAAAATTGAAGTTTCATATTAATTGACTAGTAAACACGACTCCTACCAAACCATGCCACACTGCCTATTCCAGGTCAAAATGTTTGGTGTGTTTCTAGGCTTTTCTTAAAAGAAAAGTCACTCTGGTTGAAAATATAAAAAATTCTTGGTTTTCTATCAAAAATGATTTCAGGGAAGGTTTAGGAACTAAAGTCTGAGCCACTATAATTAAGTGGTTGTACATACACATAGGAAGAGATCGTGAATTATATCTGAGAGTTCTTACCGTCACCGACTGTAACTTTGAAACTGCAAGTGGTCACGTTGGGGAAAAGCACATTATCTGAATCCACGGCCGTGCAGATGACTTCCGTTACCGCATTATTGGGGAAGGCTGAGCCAGTGTCAGGGTCACAGGCCACGTTAGCAGGTTCGCCCATCGAGTCTGGAGCGCCCTCTGGTATCTCATACTCCACCAAGGTCATGTCTCCCTCTCCTGGAGGTACGACAAGGTTGGCTGGGCAGCCACTGACAAACGTGGGATCTGTAAATATATAGACGCCAATGATCAATATTTTCACTTCAGAAAATTACTCGCAACTCTCCAACGTGTTAAAGACACACGCATCAAACTATAGCTTGATTTACCCGCCACATTATGTTCAATTTTTTTGCAATAAACCAGTAGCCTTTGGGTGATTTTCCCCCATATCCATTTAACCTTGGTCAAGGCGTTCGACCTTGGTCCGGGTGCGGTAAACGATCGGCGGCATTTCCCCCTTGATGCAGTGCATTAAAAATACAGCGCGAACAGCGACCTCATGCGGCCACTTTTTTATGCAAATCATTTGGATCCAGACGAACACCTTTGGTCCATCCGTAAATGTGAGGTTTTTGGGGGTGGTGCTCATTATGCTAATAACCTAAGCTGACCTTAAAGTTGTTTTCTTATTGGTCAATCGTTGTGTGGAAACTTGCATATAGTTAGTGAGCGGTTCTGTGTGTATCTATGTCTCACATTACACAAAGCACCAATGCACATAAAATGTGGTTTCTGACACATCCCCAAAAGGGCGAATAGCTGCAAATGATTTCATGATGTCGAGATTTACCAAAGGTGTGATTGGACACTCCACATATTAGCCCCGCCTACACTTAGCTGTATTCGCATATGAGGTCATGCACTAGAAATCCAGCACAAAATAAAGAAAAACATTGGCTTTCGCGGACGATTGGACCAAGGGGATCGCCTGGATCCAAATGATTTGCATATTAAAATAGTGGGCGCATGAGGTCGCTGTTCGCGCTGTGTTTTTAATGCACTGCACAAAGACGATATGCCGCCGATCGTTTACCGCATACGTACGGCTGGACGAATAATGACGAACACCTGACAAAGGCTAAATATCCCCATAAGTAGTCCTGAAGCCCATCACCAGCGACCAGTCCAATATCACACAAAAATTCTCTGAATCACAAGTTTTAATTAATCTGATGGAGGATAATTTGACAGAGCAATTCAACACTTAATAAAATGCTGCAGATTTTATTCAAACAGATAATTTTTTAATTTACTCACAGACCCGAACTTGGAAATCGCAAGTAGTCATAAGAGTATTGGGCGACAGTTCATCTGTTGCGGTGCACGTGACCTTATTATCACCGCCTGCGAAGTCTGAGCCACTGGCCGGGGTACAGGTAACATCTGCCGGGTTTCCGTCATCCTGCGTGGCCGTGCGTTCTGGCCAGACCACTGCCAGTGCCATGTTTGATTCAGGGGAGGGAGGCACATTCACGTCTTCGTCACACGGCGGATCGGGGTTGAATGTCGGAGCTGGTAGGAGAAATAAATACAAGTCATAATCAAGTCTATCTCATGTCCATCACAATTATCACATGTCCATCACAAGTCTATCACATGTCCATCACAAGTATATCACAAGTCCATCACAAGTCTATCCTGCAGTCTTAAGACAACTCACAAGCTATTCAAATGACCTGCAACAAAAATATCCCTTGTTCATCAACTGTTGCTTGCGACTTGTTTATTTGTGGTATGCCTAAAAAGCACAGTCAGTTTACTAATGCAGTACTCATCCTAACAGATTCCAACAAACGCTGGTGTTGGAGTTTGGCTGGTTGGGGATCGTTAGGGTTAAGGTCGAACCAATTGTTAAGCGATTCTACACATTTTACAGACGATGAGATCATGCATTTTATCTGAGAGTTCTTACCTACACCAAGTGTAACTTTGAAACTGCAGGTGGTCACGTTGGGAAAAAACACATAATCTGAATCCACGGCCGTGCAGATGACTTCTGTTACCGCAAAATTGGGGAGGGCTGAACCAGTGTCAGGGTCACAGGTCACGTTAGCGGGTTCGCCCATCGAGTCTGGAGCGCCCTCTGGTATCTGAAACTCCACCACGGTCGTGTCTCCCTCTCCCGGAGGTACGACAAGGTTGGCTGGGCAGCCACTGACAAACGTGGGATCTGTAAATATATAGACGCCAATGATGAATACCCTCACTTCAGAAAATTACTCGCAACTTTCCAACGTGTTTCAAACAAAATACAGGGTGAGTCCAAAAAAAAGCGGTACCCAAACCCCAAAAATTATATTTCATATTTAAAAAATATGTAGCACCAAACATAATAATGACTGGAAAGCCAATTTCATCAGCAACTTTTACATGAAAAAATTAATGAAATTGCTCAATCTGCTCAGAGAATATCACTATTTAACAAAATTACTCTAACACCTCTTTCGTCCAAAAATGCGATTTCAAGAATTGTCATCACAATTGTCTTCAAACATCGCCTGAGATAAAACCTCAGTTTAAAAGTAAAAAATATACAACAAAGTCCTTTTGAAGGTTCGTCTTTTAAAAGAGTGGATTTTATAAATCATATTGTTTGCCTAGCCAGGGTTGTTATTAAAGATATTGTGTACTACAGTTGTTGACAGTTGTTGAAAACAAGTATTCTGTGTCATTTTCTTTGTTGTTCCAAACAATTAGAATACACACTAAACAACTTTCGTTGGACGAAACAGGTTTTAGGGTCATGGCTTTTAAATGGTGATATTCTTTGAACGGATTGAGTAATTTCAGTAATTTTTTCATCTAAAAGTAGCTGATGAAATCGGCATCCAGTCATTATTATGTTTGGTGCTACATATCTTTTTATATATGAAATATATTTTGGGGGGTTTGGGTTCCGCTTTTTTTTTACTCACCCTGTATAAATCTAATGCTTGATGGACCCTCATTCCACATTATGCTCAATCTTTTTTGCAGTAAACCAGTAGCCTTTGGGTGATTTTTGCCAATATCCCTACAAGTAGTCCTGAAGCCCATCACCAACGACTTTCCAGTCCAATATCACACAAATATTCTCTGAATTACAAGTTTAAACACGATGGGGGGCAATTTGACAGAGCAATTCAACACTTTATAAATGCTGCAGATTTACTTTCAAACAGACAGGGGACTAGTTAAAGGCATACAATAAGCTCACTCACAGACACGAACTAGGAATTCGCAAGTAGTTAAAAGAGCCTCGGGGGCCCGTTCGTCTGTTGCGGTGCACGTGACGTTATTATCACCGCCTGCGAAGTCTGAGCCACTGGCCGGGATACAGGTAACATCTGCTGGGTCTCCGTCATCCTGCGTGGCCGTGCGTTCTGGCCAGACCACTGCCAGTGCCATGTTGGATTCAGGGGAGGGAGGCACATTCATGTCTTCATCACAGGGCGGATCGGGGTTGAATGTTGGAGCTGGTAGGAGAAATAATACAAGTCGTTATCAGTGTTGTAGTCTAATTCATTGCAAGTCCTCGCAAGACCATTAAAGAGGTTGTGGAATGCTCGAAGACATTTCCGTCATTCTTTGTGTATACGTAGCCTAAGGTGTGATGAAATAAAAACGACTATTGTTTCTGTCACAAAATGAGTACAAAAGGTACTTTTGAGAGCTGTTTTTTAAGTGCTGTCATGCCTGTTTTGACCCGAACGTGCAATTTGTGTAAAAGTCATCGTTGCGGGCAGCAAACAAAACACGGTAAATCGTGACGTAATAAACAGGACTCCCGATGCAGAGTAGCATACAACGAGTCCTGTTTATTACGTCACGATTTACTGTGTTTTGTTTGCTGCCCGCAACGACGACTTTTACACAAATTGCACGTTCAGGTCGAAACGGGACCTGAAAAATAGCTCTCAAAAGTACCCTTTGTACTCATTTCATGATAGAAACAATAGTCGTTTTTATTTCATCACACCTTAGGCCATATATAACCAAAAAATGACGGAAATGTTTTCGAGCATTCCACAACCTCTTTAAATATATACATCTAACAGAAATTTCTAACAGAAAGTCCTGAAAATGTCCAAAAAGTTGAGTGTTCCTCGATCTTTTCATAACCTCACAAACTCACAAAAGAGATTTGTCACGTGGTGCTACCGTAAATCTTTATCTTATTGCTACCGTCACCATGCAAACCTTCAAATCTATCTACAAATTAGTTCACCGCAAGAAACTTGTATGAAACTGGTACACCTATTATAAAACAGCAAATGGTCAAAATGCATGACAGAGAACTGCAACAGAAACTGTTAAAACTCATCTACTGAAATACTAAAACATGTGTTGACCCAGTAAGACAGTTATGATTGCTCCTTTTGAGTATTTTGTGTGGTGTCAAATAAAATTGTGTGCCTAATGATGCTTCAAGTCCATTACATTTTTAATAAAATCTCAACAACCGCCTTTGAAAGACTTTTTGCTACTTTCAGACTCAGATTCACCCAAAGATACACAATTTATCAAAGGATTAAGACAGAAATTGAGCTTTTGTATTCAGCTAATGCAAACTCAAAGACTAACCTTTCAGGAATCTCACTGTAAACATACAAGTTGCTTCACCAAATGTCACTGAATCCACGGCAGTACATGTGACCACTGTTGTGTTGTCGTTAAGGAAGGCACTTCCACTGCTTGGATCGCACGTCACATTAGCTGCCTCGATGCCGCCTGAATCAATGGCGCCCTCTGGTACTTCGTAGGTGACGATAGTGGTTGATCCAGAGAGGTCCGGAATTTGGATGGTGTCATTCGGACACCCCTTGGCAAAGGTTGGATCTGTGAGAAGAACCATTAACGCAGGTCGGAAGAAATGCCACAATCGGAGGAAACGAAAATGGTACATTAAGTTTTTTCCTGTTTGGACTTATTTGCAGTAAAATGCCATTATTGTGTTTATAGCTAGAGATGGTGTAGCACACAGCAGGGTATGGGGAATTTAGTGTTCTGAAGAAATAATTGTCCAGCTGCAAGAGAACGTTGCTCTGAATGAACAGTCATGCAAAGAGTTTCTTCTCAAGAAAACGACAAATAACAGTTCTCCAAAGTAACACCAACGAGCATTTTGAAACAAATACTCTTTTAAAAAAAACCTATTATCCACAATTTTTGCCACTTACACACACGGACTCTGAAGGTGCAGTCTGTCGTTGGGGCAGTGTCAGCCGGTAAGCGAGTGTCCACAGCAGTGCAGGTGACATTGGTATCGCCTGCCTCAAAGTCCGAGCCGTTGTCCGGCATGCAGGTCACATTCGCCGGGTTGCCATCGGATTGTGCAGCTGTACGCTCCGGCCAGATTACGGCGATAGCCTTATTTTCACCAGGAGCCGGCTGAACATCGAAGTCTTCATCACAGACAGGAGACGCATCAAACGTAGGAGCTGCAGTGTGTAAATATTTTACGTGACGTTCAGGAGTGTCATTTGTAGATATGTTTAAAACCTATGGGCTCTGTACACAAGTACCCCATCAACGGCCAGAAAAGGAGAGTTGGGGTGACCTAGACTGGTACCTGATCCATCCACTGCGCATTTCGAATATATTTCGAAGTTATTGGAGGCGGGGATTAGTCTCGGAGACCATCGCAAGTTGAATTTGAACATATTCGCGCGCCGACGACGCCCGACACTCACGCAAAGATGCGGTGGTCAGAGATTTTGCACATTCAGGAAGTCGTGTGTTCTTTGTGCGCGAACCAGTACAGTACGCGCACACTGTGTGTCCCGTCCACGGAGCTCTCAAAAGGGGTAAAATGCGCCCTCTTTTGTTGGCGCATTGTTGGATAAATGCAAACGATCCTATAAGCCTTTAGCTATCTTTCTGGAGTTTTCCTCCCACCTCTAAAACTGAGCATCTCTGTATTGTCTTCTCACTCTAGCTCGCCTCTAAGCTACAGCACTTGAGGACTTTTAAAGTTTCGTTGGTTTCATTACCAGAAAGAATAAAAAATAATTAAAGGAATGATATCTGGATTTTGACTTCCTACCAACAACAATTGTCACTGTGAAGGAGCAAGTAGCCACCAGCTTGGTCACAGGATGTCTGACGGTACAGGTGACGATTGTGTCGCCTGGCTGAAAGTCGTCACCGTCGTTCTTTGTGCAATTGACAGGGAAAGGCTCTCCGTCAGAGTCATCGTTACCGATCGGCACGACAAAACTGACCGGGTTGCTGGCCTGAATGATGTCATCAGGACACAGGGTCTTGAAGGTTGGGGCTGGGTGAATGATCAATGGAAGAAAAAAATACTCCAAAATGTTTGAAATTATTTCTTCTTTTTTTTGGACCAAACTGGTCGGATGAATTGCGGCATGTTTTGCCTGAAATGATGAATTGTTGCATATTTTTTACCTAAAATCTGGCCAGAGTTTATCTTTCGATGAGTGCCGTCTGTCATTTTGACAGTTGCATCACAAAATGGCTGATAAAAGTCACTTTGTTGGCTCCCAATGGTCTCATGCTTCTGTATAATAGGGCGGCTTAATGCTTCACACAAACGCAAAAGCTAAGCGATTTTCATGGTGTCAACAACTGAAATTTCATTGTTGAATGCAATTATATCCTAACCAATTTGCTTCGCACAGAAATTCGCATGAAATACGATCCAGCCCTTGTTCATTTGGGCCACACATCTAGGAAAATAAAAATCCACTGACGTAATACAGCACCACAACTAATCAACAATAGACAGAAATTTAAATGAATTTCAATGAAACAAAAGGAAACTTGTAGAAAAACAGCGAAAAGGTGTGAAACCAGGCAAAAAAGCCACAAAACAGGCTCAAGATAAATGGCAACAAAACAAAAAAAACAACCCAGGAACTCCTGTTTAAACAGGAAGATTCTCATGCCTTTATAGACCTATCCAGGCAAGGATGTCTTTTCGACAGACACCACACTGCTGCCGCCAATAGTGTACGCTGACTCTGTGTTCGTATTGGTCTACACACCATGTCACATTTGACATCCTTTCTCATGGTATTTCCCCGTATTTCCCAAGTAAACATCAATGCTTTAAAACCAGCCATACTTAAAGTCTACAAGAACAAATCTGTATGCTTCGACTCACCTACGGATAGAGTGAATGTATAAGTCGAGTCATCACCGGCAGTCGAGTCAGTGGCTACACACTTTATCTCGTGTGTACCACCATCAAACTGAGTCCCAGAGGGCGGGTTGCAGGCCACGGGGAGATATGTGCCACTGCTATCCTTGGCTCGAGGGTCCAGGTAGGCGTAGGTGGCGTAGTTGGTACCAGGGTCCGGGGACCGAAATGGGTCTCCTAGTAGGGTGTCCGGCTCAAAGGCTGGAACTGAAAAAAGGCATTCAGAGATGATTGGCCTGTATATGTGGCAGTGTTGTGGCCCCTTTTTGAATTTTCATCAGCCGGCTGGTTGGCCCACACAAATTTTGCTTCAGCCACCTGTGGTGCCCCCTCCCTCCTTATGATGCTGGTGTCCCCTGCCCCTTTATACTGAAAAAACCCATATTTTACTTACAGACACCAACATCAAAATTGCAAGTGCTGGTGATGGACGGTGCAGTTGCATTCTGTATCGTGCACACCACTTCGGTGCTATCTCCCACGAATGTAGCCGTGTCAGGGTCAGGATCGCAGGTTGCTTCACCCCCTCCAACTCTGGTGGGCCTGTCCCACTTGCCGGTCAGTCCAGTAGCTGTCATCGTACCATCGTCTGGAGGAACGTTGACGGGGCCCGAACTGCACGAGCCTTGGGACTCAAATTCCGGCGCTTATGGAGAGAGGAAAAGGAACATGAAAAATTCAATAATTTCCCAAGAGGATCTTGGCGGTTATTTAAGTTGGGCCGGAACACTTGTGCTTTTTTGGTTGGATGTAGCCGTGTCCAAATTACTTGGCTACGGCTGCAAATAACACACGGGTCTATATCATAGGCACGTGTGTAATTGCCAGCTGAAGACAAGTAATTCGGACCTAGCCTTAGTTTTGCTGCCTGCAACACAGACCGCTGAGTTTGGTGCCAAACCTAAACGAGAATGTATAGTGGCAAGACTAGCATGCCCAAATTAACTTACCGGTGCCAACAGCCACGACAAAGCTGCACGTGACAGTCTGCGTGGTCTCCACGCTGTCTGTGGCCGAACATTGCACAGTGGTTTCGCCATCTGGGAATGTCTCGTTGCTTGCCCTATCGCAAGTGCCGGCAATTGTTGTCTCGGCGGAATCCACCGCATCCGGCGGGGAAAAGTCAACGGTTGAACCGTCATCTGTCACGACGGTTTCTGGGCAACCGTCTGGGAATGTGGGAACTGTGATGAAGATTTGAAGAGATGATTTGAAGAGAAAAATGCTCCTTGCTCAATACTTTCTTAAACATTAAATTTCAGAGTTGTTTTAATGAAATGTAAGGTGACACCTTTTTTATGTTGGAGCTGATTTAGTGAGTCATTTGTGGCTTCGACCACAAGGGCGTCAGCTGCTTCTCAAAAGTTTTTGCCCCTCCATTTTGGTGGTAAATGATTTATCATTTAAACATCATTTTGAAGTTCAGAGTCACTGAATCAGCTATCCTGAGCTAGAATCAAATGTAGGCTACAATTTTAATTTGGGGATGAAAAAGTACGGGGAACAAACAATATGATATCCCACCCACTTCAAAAAAGGAGGGGTGGGGGCATTCCATCGCACATTATATAACCAACATACAGAACCTTGTCATTTGATTGGTGGAACTCACATCACGTGACATTTGTTATTACTGCCATTCACGCCGCGGCTCAAAAAGTACAATCCGCCCAAGGGGAATGGGAAATACTATTGAACAGTTGGGATCATTCTTGTTCCTTGACGCGGTGTTTGTGTGCAAATGCATGCTTGTGTGCGCGTTCAGCATTGCGTGTTCAGCATTGCGCGTAGTGCGTAGCGCGTATTGTTCCAAAGAGCCAGCGCTACAGCGGTGGGTTCAAACATTTTCGTGAAGAGGTGGTTTGGAAGAGAGAAATTCGTTTTTCACCAATTTTGTATTGAAATAAAAAGTTCAAATATATCAAATGACAAGGATCTATATGTCAGTTTTATAAAACAAATATTGAGTGGCTTTAAATTGTGAATTGGGAGGAATATTATCGCTCGGTAAAATCTGGACTTTCCAGTTCACTCCGCTTCATCTCGTGAAATGGAAAAGTCCAGATTTTACCTTGCAATAATATTCCTATTATATTATTCCTCCCATTCCACGCTGATCCACTCAATTATGATATATATTAATGCTGATCGACGCCCATAGCTCTGGGAGAACCCATATATGTATGTTTCACACATCATCAGAGTGACTTAAGTTTAATAGGTGAAGCAACTTACAGACACGAACTTCAAACGAGCAAGTGTCTATCAAAGATGGCAGATCAGAGTCTGCTATCGTGCACGTCACACTGGTGGCACCAGCCGGGAAAGTGAAAGTGTCTGGGTCTGGATCGCAGGAGGCTTGCTCGCCGCCTGCCTTGGTGGGTCTGGCCCACTGGCCCGCGATGCCCGTGGCTGTGTTCGAGCCCTCGTCAGGGGCAGTGTTGATGACAGCAGTGCCGTTGCACGAACCACGATCCTCAAATTCTGGCACTGTTGGGATACAAAAGAAGGCAACTACAAAGCAAAAAGGTAGCAAGCAGAAAGTAAGCCTTCAGTGAAACACCATTTTTGACAAAAACGAAAACCACTTTAGATTTGCGTTCGTATTAACCCCTGGTTACAGGTTCTTGAGTTATTTCCAAATCAGTCCTACTGATTTGAAAATCACAGGCGTGAGGAAAAAGGCACACCTGGATTTGTCTAGGTGTGTTTTTGTTCTAGGTTTGTGGTTTTCTAGGTGTGTGATCTGTGGTCCAGGGAAATTCAGGCGTGCAATTATTCACACTTCTCGGGAAGCTTTTAGGTGTGCAATGGTGTGGGGGTGTGATCGCATGCCTCAAATCAGAAGGACTGCAAATACATATTTTTTGTATTTTTTTCTGATGCATATTTGAAGAAACTAAAGCTTAAAATCTTATGAGTGCATCCCTCAAATCCCTCCATTGCTCCACCCCTTGTCAAATGATTTATGCTATCTGGATAGTTTTGTCTGTTATACAAGTCCACTCCAAGTCCGGTCAAACATAATTCCCACAAGAACGGTCACCTAGCTGCAAAGAGGGATAAACAATGACAATTAAAGAAAAACCTAAGTTTGTCACAGTCCATTTGAATCACTTGTGACTGGACTTAACCTGGAGGACATGTGATGAGGGACTTGCGAGCTGGGATATGAGAACTTTGTGGTAGACCTTACAGTAATTTTGAACAATATAAGATTACATTTATCACCAAGTGTAAAAATCAGAAAAACAATTACCCCATTTGGTTTTTGCATTTTTTTTCTCCAGTATCGCCCGTGCCCAGTTCGATTTCATTTAGGCATAAGCTTCACATTTGTCATATTCTGCAAACTTACTTACGCAGTATTTGCGATTATGCCAATACACCAAAGACATATTGACGTCACGCTTTGTTCACATGTGCACTCTCCTATGGGAAGCCTTAGTGGTACTCATGTGACGTCCCCTGGCTTCCATAGGAGAGCGCACATGTAAACATAAGTGTGACGTCATTATGTCCGGTCTATTGATGGAGATAAATGGGTGTCTTAATTAGTCTTACGAGTCCCGACGGTGACTCTGAAGGAGCAGCGTGCCACTAGACCATCGATGGTTGCCTCTGTCACACGACAGGTGACGACAGTCAGTCCAGCATCGAAGGCATCACCACTCTCGTGGCTGCATGTGACTGGTGCTAGATCTGTATTGCCAAAGTTCTTGTTGCCAATAGGTTTGGGAAACGTGACGGTGGAGCTCTCCTGCACGATGTCTTCTGGACAGCCGCTTTGGAAAGTTGGAGCTGGACAGATTTAAAAAGTCCAACAAATATGTCTCAAATACTGCATGGACTTACTGAATGGTATTTATAGCCACATAGCATTGCATGCTAAATTTTCTGAAAAGTTGTATTTCCTGAATTTGAAATCTAAATTACTTTTTTTCACTAGGAAATATCACAAGTTGGAAGGTTCATAACGTTATCCTCAAGGACAATCTTGCAGTCCTTTTTTGGACACACCCTCTCCAAAATGCCCCTGAAAATTACAGGATATTAAACTTGACAATCTAAACATACAAAATTTAAGAAAAAATTCTAGTTATTATCCGGGTAAGTGGGAAAGTATGTTTTTTTATTTTGCCTAAAGACAAACTACCCAAAATAAACATCTAACACTTACAAATGACTTAACAGGTCAATTTTTAGGGGTTGCATGCACACCCGACTATAGACCCGTGAACGTGGCGTTGTATACAAGCCACGTTTACAAGCCACGTTCACGGGTCTAACCCGACTACATTCATTCAACTTCACACCAAAAAGGACTGCGTGACTACAAATTACAATATTCCTTCATTCCACTGAGGGGCGGATCCAAATCATTTTTTTGGGGGGGGGGGCCAAAAAATGTTGGTCCCCCCATGGTGGTGTTAGTTACGCAGTGCCTGCCTTTATTGCGACATCACTTAAAAAAATTAATGAGTCAATCGTTGTTGTTGTTTTTGAGGGGGGGGGGGGGCATGGCTCCTGTTGCCCCCTCCCCCCCCCCCCTCCCCTTCCAATCCGTCCTTGCAATCCACGTACAAGCATGGAGAAAAAAAGAACACATTTCTCCATGCTACAATTATAGCCACGACCGGCCACCGCGCTGATAGTGTGATGTGATAGAGCAGTGATACCTTCCTGACATCCAAAATATACCACGCTCACGTCACTCAGATTATCTTGCTGCCAGCACTATAATATGCCGCGCCAGCGTGTTTAAAACCCTCCAATAAATTATCACCAAAGCAGAAGAGCAAAGGCAGAAACCAAAGATCCTAGCGCCGTATAGATCTTTGGCAGAAACTGTGGACTTTACTTACTCACGAATACTTGAAATGCGCAGGTGCTGGTGCTTCCTGGATCCGACGTATCCGTCGCCGTACACTGCACTATGTTTTCGATTATCTTGAGACCTTCAAACACGGTGCCCCGAGGTTTGTCGCATGTAACAGCCGCCGGGTCGCCGTCCACGTCCGTCGATCGAGGCATCGGCCAGTACACAGAGGCGTATAAATTCTGGTCGGGGTCTGCCGGTGCGAAAATGGCCGAATCGCACACTAGATTTGGCCCTGGTAATGATATAGAATGACAAATTGAATTTCGCTTTAGCACCCCGTGCATGTACAATACATTTTAGTCTCCTATTTAAGTTTAAGTTTTTCCCGCCACAAAATTGTTTCACTATGATCATGGAATTCTACCTCCATGCTATGATGAATGTTCATCTTTGCATACCCCGAGTATCCACTCAGCCTAGTGGACTGGCTGCGACGTATTATGGACGTTAGTCTATGTAATAGTCTTAGACCGTGTATGCCCAGCATGATTGATATAAGAAGAAATTTCATATCTGTCATTAAAAAAAATCGCCTGGGTTATTGATGCCGAAATGTCATTATACTGGTCACTGGTGCAGCTGACCTATAAAGTCGTGGAAAAATCGTTCAAAAAGGTCCCCTAATCTATCTATCATTAGCTCAATTTCAAGGAATCCCCACAAAGAGGTTTTTTCACGAGTAGTTGAACACTAATATCATCTAAGTATCATTCGAAATTTCAACTTAATCTGTTGTTGCAAACGCTTGTGTTACACCTCGAACTATCTGCAAGGAAAATTTCGACGAGGATTTTTCGCCGACCAAACTCACGTGCATGGTTTTCAGGTTGGCCGATTTTGGGGCAAAAAATGACGAAACGCATAATCATATTCATTTAGCGTGATTTCTTTTTAATTAGTCTCGGCATCGACCAATTACGGAAGCCGGCAAAAAGGGTGATATTTATTATTTAAATAACTTGTTAAGGCGGCGCAGAGTGGGCCAGAATCACCTCAAAGTGTGGCAAAATTCAAAAATAGTGAATGTGACATTTTCAACTTTTTAAACTTTTTTGAGGAAGAGAACATCCTAAAGAATATTTTCTCCACCCATATTTAAATTTTATAGTGTCACATACCCATGTGAACATAAAAAGTGCAAAATCTGCTCTTAAAATGATAAGGCCAAAAAAATAAATAAGTCGGTCTCTGGTCAGCGCGCGCGTCGATTTTAATCATGCGCGTCGATCTTTCTTTTTTCCAAAATGTTCCGCGGTAGCTCCAACAGCGCCCTCTATTTCCGCACCTCCTCAATTTTTTTTTACCAAAGAGCACCAAGGAATGGGAAATTGTACCAAGGCAAATGATCGAAAGCACCAAGGCAAATTATGGAGGACACCAATGTACCTGAGGACACCAAAAAAGCAAAATAGTACCCACCTTGTCTGTACAATCCAAGCTTGAAGAAAAAAAAAAAAGCTAAAAAAAAAAAAAAAAAGCCGCGTGGCCGCGTCAATTCCGGAACTTTGGTCTGACCAGAGACCGAATATTTTTTTTTTTTGGCCTAAAAGTGGCAACTTTAACGTGTTTCACCGGATTCATATGATGGAGAAAGCAGTCAACTTGTTACTGCGTGCAGTTCTTACCCATTAGTAGCAAATTTAGAAAATAAAATTCAAAATGTTAAAAAATGTATATTTGGAAATTAATGATCAGTAAATTTGACCCCCCAAAACACCAAAACTTTAAGTTATGGTGGCTTTATATAAAGGGACACCGCACATATATATTGACGCCAATATTGACGCCAATATTCATGACATGGCCTCCATGTCGCAAATATTTGCGCCAACACTGACGCCAATATTCACGACATGGACCCAAGTCGCAAATATTGACGCCAATATTCAAGACGTGGACCCAAGTCGCAAACATTGACGCCAATATTCACGACATGCATGGTCTCCAAGTCGCAAATATTGACGCCAATATTGACGCCAATATTCACGACATGGTCTCCAAGTCGCAAATATTTGCGCCAATATTGACGCCAATATTCACGACATGGACCCAAGTCGCAAATATTGACGCCAATATTGACGCCAATATTCACGACATGGACCCAAGTCGCAAATATTGACGCCAATATTGACGCCAATATTCACGACATGGACCCAAGTCGCAAACATTGACGCCAATATTCACGACATGGTCTCCAAGTCGCAAATATTGACGCCAATATTGACGCCAATATTCACGACATGGTCTCCAAGTCGCAAATATTTGCGCCAATATTGACGCCAATATTCACGACATGGACCCAAGTCGCAAATATTGACGCCAATATTGACGCCAATATTCACGACATGGACCCAAGTCGCAAATATTGACGCCAATATTGACGCCAATATTCACGACATGGACCCAAGTCGCAAATATTGACGCCAATATTGACGCCAATATTCACGACATGGACCCAAGTCGCAAATATTGACGCCAATATTGACGCCAATATTCACGACATGGTCTCCAAGTCGCAAATATTGACGCCAATATTCACGACATGGCCTAAGTCGCCAACCCACTCAGGCGTGAATATTCTCCTTTTTTTTAGCAACCTAGGTAGGTAATTCAAGCAACTTGTCTGGCGCACACTACTATACAGTACACATAATCACCTCAGTATACAGGATCACCTCAAAGTGTGGCAAAATTCAAAAATAGTGAATGTGACATTTTCAACTTTTAAAACTTTTTTGAGGAAGAGAACATCCTAAAGAATATTTTTTCCACCCATATTAAAATTTTATAGTGTCAATATTTGCGACATGGAGGCCATGTCGTGAATATTGGCGTCAATATTGGCGTCAATATTTGCGACATGGAGACCATGTCGTGAATATTGGCGTCAATATTGGCGTCAATATTTGCGACATGGAGGCTATGTCGTGAATATTGGCGTCAATATTGGCGTCAATATTTGCGACATGGAGACCATGTCGTGAATATTGGCGTCAATATTGGCGTCAATATTTGCGACATGGAGACCATGTCGTGAATATTGGCGTCAATATTGGCGTCAATATTTGCGACTTGGAGACCATGTCGTGCAATATTGGCGTCAATATTGGCGTCAATATTTGCGACATGGAGGCCATGTCTTAAATATTGGCGTCAATATTGGCGTCAATATATATGTGCGATGTCTCTTTAAAGCCACCATATTAAGTGCATTTTTAAAAATAAAATTAGTGCGATAGTTAGGATTCCCGTCGATTCCTACCAACATTTTAATCTTTACGTTTCCACCCAAGCCCGAAGCTTTACATTGATGCTAAATTTGTTTGCTAGAATTTACTATAATGCGTGTAAGAGGCGTTTTAACGGCCCCATGTTCGCCGTTTTTAATGAACTGTACATACATAGGCCTATACTCTTAATATAAAAACGTGTACAAGCAAAAAGTCATCCTTTTGTAATTGCAGCGATTTTCATTCAGTTTTTAAAACTTGTTTGAGGAAGAAAACATCCAAATTTTCCACTCGTTTTATTTTTTTTTGTAAGTTTTTATGGTGTCACATACCCCTGTGAACAGGAAACAGTATGAATACTTCTATTAAAAATAATGATCAAATTTGGCAACTTTGAGAAACGCGTTATGATTTTATGAAAGAGAAAGCAGTCAACTTGTTAGTGCGTACAGTTCGTACCTATTAGTAACCAAGTTTGAAAAAAATTCAAAATGTTATAAAATGTACATTTTGGAAATTATGATCAGTACATTTGACCAAAAAAACATCAAAAATGCATTTTGTGATAAAATTAGCACGATACTTTGGATTCCCACCGGGGGGGGGGCTCGTGCCATATTTTCAATGGGGAGCGCTGATAAAATCCTACAATCAGGCACACTATATTAATTAAAAGTGTACAAATGCACCCTTCTCACGACTATTTATCTAGGGGAGACCGTTCGCATGTACGTCACATTCTTACATTTTGCTAGTGCATTTTATTTTTACGTCAAACCGCCACTGACGACAGACCAACATCCCAAATGTCAAAAAAGGAGTTCTTGCGCCCCAGTTTGTGGGACTAGTCTGAGTTCATACCCCTCTAATGTGTAGCATAATAGGTAACATCCACATTACAATTAAAATAGAATTTCAACCCGCCAATCAAAGTGCAGCATTTCAAATGCGGTTCCCCAAACCAAATTAGGTTCCAAATATCAGTTGAATATTTAATCTACCCCTGCTAATTTGATTGGATATTTGATTCAACCAATTGATTCAATAATCAATGAAGTACGAACTTACGTTGTTATTACAATGAATATTTGCCTTATCCAATCGGAAAACACTATTTTGATGACGTCATACATATTTTAAAATGCTTTCATTGATCTTTATAAGTGTCTGTTAACCCAATAAAGGTTTCAATATTACTCATATATGGATGGATATTCCTAGGTTTTGAAAGGAAAAATGGCTCAACCAATCTAAACACGTACAGCATTTTGATAACGTCATATCAATTTAAGAATGCTTTCATTGGATTTCTTAGGTACAGAAACCCCCTAACGCTTCAAGAATCAATGTAATATGAATCTGTCTTGGTATTACAAAGATAAAGTGCCTCGTCCAATCAGAAAACAGTATTTTGATGACGTTATGTGTATTTGAAAATACTGCCATTGAAATCTACGCCCACTGTGCGGCGATACTGCACATTTTTACTGCACACCCATAATGGATATGAACCTTATTATTAAATATGAGGCTTGATTGAGAAGATTGACAGATATTGCAAACACAAGCAAAGCAAACAAAGTCCTGGGTCTCCTGAAGAGAAACATCCACTCGTGCAGCAAATCAGTCAAAGAAATAGCCTACAAAACCCTCATCAGACCGAAGCTTGAGTACTGCGCATCAATATGGGATCCTCATCACAACAATACCAAGGCATCTCTTGAGAAAATCCAATGCTCGCTTTGTTCAAATTGACTACAGCAGGAACTCAAGTGTCACAAACATGCTGGCAAACCTCCGATGGGAACCTCTCGAAAGACGGCGCACCAAACTTCGCTTAATTTCCATCTATAAGGAAGTCCATAATATCAATCCATCAACTGTCGCCAGAACATCATAATATCCACCAGAATGCAAACCGGGCCTCATATCTTAGAAACCCCACCATTCAACAAGAACTGTTACCAGTATTCATTCTACCCCCGGACAACTCGTGAATGGAACATCCTCCCACCAGACGTTAGAGCTCAACCCGACATCAAATCATTCAAAGAGAAACTGGATCAAATAAATGTGGATGAGCTCATTGCAAAATTATTATAACCACCATCTGGTGGTGCTTGCATATAGTATTCAGCAGAAGCAGAAGCAGAAATACCAGTGTTTAAAACAGCTTTGGAAAATGGACGTACCCAAGCCTATAATGAAAAATACTGAACATA